CAGGCCGCCGAGAAACGCAGATGAATATCAAGCGTTACTGAAAGACTCGGCGATTGCGGAACACACACTCGACACGGGACACAAAATAGATTTAGAAAATGTTGAGGTTTTGAGGCGAGGACCACGGTCCACGCCACGCAGACTGATCGCCGAGGCAGTAGAAATCGCCAAGCACCCCAGTGTTAATAGAATAGAAGGTGTGGAACTGGCAAGCGTGTGGAGGACGGTTCTGGATCAGCCGAGCTGACACGTGTTGGTGTGCGGTCATCAGAAGGAAGAGTAGTCATCACCTGAAGTCCACTTGATCTCAACCCCCTCAAACCAAACTGTCGGAGCACTCACGAACCCACAAAGACCAGGAAAAATCAACCAGTAGTAACCGAGGTGAATCATCAACTGAAGAACCCTGAAGTGGAAGATTAATGAACCAAACCCGATCAGAATTAATTTGAGCGCACCCCCAATCCACCAAAGCAAGATTTTGACAACTTCACTAACCGATAAGAGCCATTAATTCACACTCAACACGGATCTAGTGTGAAAATCCGAAGAGGATTGACTTACTGATTGGTTCCCCGTCTGCCTTATAACCTGGCCAATTTGGTGACCTGCTCACTTGGCCTGATGAAGCTTTTGTGTCAAAAGCGAAACGTTGCCCAAATAAAAACTACCGATTGTTTATCAAGCTCTTCTGAAACGAAATCGTGAACTGTTTACCTCATTTGATACACGTTTTGGGAAGCGAACTAACAAGTTTTTGGACAGGCAGACACACGGGTTAGTGAATTATTGCATCGGGTGAAGTTAATCCCATACTAGGTAGGTTAATAAATGTCCTGGGGCTCTGAATACACTGTTATCGACCTTTATGAGACAAGGCAAAGTTGACCAAAAGTTTACGTTGGTTAAACAAGGTAGTTTGTATAGCGCTGAATCACCGCTGCGTCAGCATAGCGTGATGGGCCGTTGTTGTTTTGACGTTTCCTGACTGAACCACTGTCTAGGTTCAGGAGGCTGGACTCATCAAAAGTTGTGTGGAACTGTGTTCACTTTAGCTGTGGGAGAAAACTTGCAATGACTGCCGACCGCTTGGTTTGGATTCTTTAAACACAGAGTTCCCGGGCGATTATGCTGAACCCTCAAACTTCCTTAGCCCAATTCTTCTTTTGAATGACAGCATTCTCTTAATAATTCAAGATCACTTGGTGCGATTGCTCAAATCCTGTCGGTTGACAATTTCTCTCCGCCCTGATGGTATACTTCCTCATCTGCCCAAGTACAGTGCTGAGTAAGGTTGTATCAGACATCGTCAAGGTGTCTTATTCCAGTGTGGTTATACTTGAGCTTTGCAGCATCATCCAAGCGGTGACCGTAAACGATGGCCCAGGTGCTTCTTTTCCAGCCTTATTGCAGGTCATCGAAAACGTAGCCGCGCTGCGTAGTAATTACCGCCTCATACTTCTAAGCACCTCAAATTTCTCCGAGATAAACCGTATGCTCGATGCTGACACCCACCTCGTCTCCAGATAGATTCTCTTGACTCGTTTCTTTTTTCCCTGTGAGCAGACAACTCCCTTTACATAAGCTTTATCCTGATGGGTTATTTTTTCTCTCACTTCATTGACCGGCTGATTGCTCTCCTTCCTTATCCAGTACACAAAGGTCAGAAGGCTCGTTCAAGTAACAGTGTTCTTCGTGGTGCGCAGTTATCTTCATTTCTTTTCGCATGTTATACGAATGATATTCGAACCACTCACCCTTTGAATATGCCAATAGCCGTTTCTCGTTCCGTTATTTCCTGACCGCCCTAAATCTTTTTCTGATGTAGTTTCCTGTCCCCAAATAGGGCCATAACTAAAATATGTTAAATGCATAAAATAAGCGTTCTTGTCATTCTGTTATTGCTTCTCGTGTAAAGCGTTTGGCAGAGCGTCCCCTTAGTTGTGCGCATGTTCCTCATGAGTTCAGCCTCTTCGAATACCTAGGAGTGACTTTATCCTTCACCTTAATTTGAACAGCTTACGTTGAAATACTCTCCTCAAATACGAGATTTCGGTCTTTCTGTGTATGTAGGCTACGCCCTCTTGGTTGTCCTCACAACTTTGTGTGCAAGTTCGCTTGCTGTTGGGTGCTCTCCGTCAGTTTGTACTGCGCTGTTATGGTTTCCCACAGTTTACTTAAGGACTTTTGTCCGTACAACGAGATCTGAAACTGACTTTCCTTGCTAGTCTTATTCTCCCTTCCACATGTACTTGTCATCTCTTAAATGGGCTCTTTACGGTCTGTTCCCATTTGTGTTCTCATACACAGTGACGCGTTTCACGTCATCATCACGTCTCATCAGCAAGGTCTTGCGTCACTGATATTGCACGCTCAAACTTCTCACACGATATTTTGATTCTGTTTTTAGCTCGTCATCTCTTCCAGGACAGCACCCAAATTCAAACGTTTTTGCATCTATTCGCTGCTCTGTATTTTCTGCTTTGCAATTTTTATCTGTTTGTTACGAAAAGGCGCTGATACCCCGTCACTCAGAGGAGAGTTGGTGAAATCTGTCTGGCTAACCCACTGCTCGAAAGTGAGCGCGTCCAGTAACAGGGTGATTTGAAAGTATAGTCCGATCAGCTACAGACAATGGAGAACAGTCGATACCACCATCCCGCTTTGGGCTTGGCACGGCACGTGACGTGTTTGGATCATGCAGTCACGTGACATACGAAGCGATGGCTACCTAGTTTGTTGCCTGCGCCTCTCTAGGACGACTGTGCTATCACTTTTTGACCGCAGGCCGCGTTCCAGCGCTGCCGCGTTCGAATTTCTGAAAATTAGATTTTTAAAAATACTCTGTGATCCATCGTTCTTCAGAGCATTCATACGGGTTTTCACTCTTATTCATTGCGGCCCACAGGCGCAAGAACGTACCGGAAGCAGAGTACCAGTACGAATGTCTGAGATCGATTCCGGCTGCAAGACATTTATGCCCCCAACTTGAAAATGTCAGTTAGGATGCATCAAATTTGTAATATTGGACAGCGAACTCGTGCCCTTTCGAAATACCACTGCCATACGTGGTATTGGGATAAATTGGGCGTACTCATGAACATGACTAATTTTTGGCTAGGTCGATCGGTACAGTGATTTCTACTTGACCGTTTCTGTGACCAACTGTGGATTTTATTTGCGAAACCGGTGACAAAAAAATCTAAGCCTACAGGTTATAACTTTAGTGGAATTTCATATCTGACCTAGTCCTCTGTTAGCGACAGCTCGATTCCTTAGTCAGTAACTTTGATGTCTTTGGTTTCACCGCTCAACCTGCTCGAGTTCAGCGCATCGAACACAGAACAGTGTGGATAAATAAATTCGTTTGCTGTAACTCTCGTTTGGAAAATGCTGCACCATGCCGACCTACATGAATACGATATTGTTTGCGGTCCGTGTGCGTTTATTTTCTTCGCTCACCGATTAACCAAATTGGTGAATTCACTTGGAATATATAGCCTGGTCATGGCATGTATGTATTCTAGTGATATAAACAAGAATGGTGACGTGGTGATATGTTGAAATACTGGGATGCACCCACTGGTAGTTGTTCCGCTGGGTGTTAATTTGTTCGCACGCATTGATGGTATCCACTCTATTGGTGGAAAAAAATTTGCTATTCGATTGCTAAGCTGGATGGCTAGATCAACAGCCACCTGATAAACTACCAACATTGGACGTTATCGGAGACAAACACACAAGCCACAATCAAAGTCGTAACGTTATTGTGACAATTTTTTGGTTTAGCGTACCACTGGCGGTCTTTTCTTAACTCAACCGGCTGATTATTCGAACTGGTCAGTTCATGGATGCCTGGACCATTGTACGTCTACTTCGCATCGCTGCTGCTGCGGTAACGCAGCTTCAGCTACTTTCGGGAAGGAATCGCGATACGTTTTGGTCGGTCCGTCCGTCCAAGCTCGTTGCATCACAAACAGGACAGTGCGGCATAATACGCTCTCCTAGATGGAACTGAAGTGGCTGGCTGACAGCAGGTCTGTTTTTTGTCCGGATTGTGGGGTATGTACAGTTGCTGTCGGGATCATTTTCCATGTGAATACTCGTGGCGTGGGCGTAAAAGATCGTTGTGGTGTGTGAACAAAGTGACAGTTGGGCTCTGCTCGGCAGAAGACTGTTCGTCACCTCAAAACATCCATTTACAGTTTAGTTTCCTCCAAGCGGTTGTCTGTTTGACATTATTCTTTTATAAAGCATTTCGGTCTGCTGTTTGGTGTTCGCTTCAGTGAAAGGTATGATCGCTGTTTTATCTTTTTACCTGTCTTCCTTACCACTTGTCCACTCTCACCCGACTTTTGGTGCCATCAGCTTTTTTTAAAGAGAATTGTGTCGCCCAGTTGTAAATCTTGGGTTGACTCGCAACGAGCCGTTTGTTAGCACTCTGTGAGCCGGGCTTTGTTGGCCCAGAGGGGTATTAATCGAACTCTCTTATCATTTCAAATGTCTTCTGCAAAGTAGTCTTGTATTTGTCATTTCTCACGTTTTGCGTTTTGTTCTCGTTAGCATTCCCCTGAGACTTAATATCGGTGCTGATCAAGTAGCTTGCTTACCCAACGGTCACTCCCCTTATTTTAGCTTCACCTGTGAGCTACACTGCCATCTGATTGGTTCGATTGTTCTAGTCAGGGGGCTAGATGGTCCAAGTGGTTAGTGCGCGAATTTACTGACCGGAAGGTCCGTGGTTCGAACCCGACCTCTGCCTCTCAACTTCCCCTGTCTCGGCTTGGGCAACCTGGCAGTATCCCAGCCTTCGTGCAACCTTCGGGTGGCATTGCAGTTAGGCACTTGAAGGGTGCTACAACTGAACGATTTTTTTAGTCTACTCATAAATCAAGAATGAGGTGAAGCTTTACTTGTTTGTGTTTCGTGACCCCTTCGCTAGCAAATTTCTCTTAACTATCGACCGATGGCTTACCATTCCTAATAGACAGACTTATATCGTTCAGCCGGTCACTTGTAGAATCCATTTTGGTTCCAAGTCTTTCCACTCACTTGCCTTATTAATCGCACCATTTTCTCTTTCCACAGGGTCTGTTAAATCTTTTTTTCTCCGACTGGGCCACGAAAGACCTCGCGCATCATCTACCGTTTGTCTACAATGTCATTAGCCAGTCGCTTTATTCGTATCCACCAGCATTCACTCGCTTCCGCAACCAGATCCGCGTCGTTCACTTCATTGGATCCGAAAAACCCTGGATGACCGAGGTGGATAAGTATGGAACTGTCATAATCCATGATCGAGTCAACACAGGCACCCCGGAATTTCTGCAATATTGGTGGTATTTGTTTGTCACTCATGTCAGACCGAAACTCAATCCTGATGTGGTAAGTTCCAAGCGACGTTTTTCCACCATCCTCTCACATCATAATGTTTCATTTAAGGCTTTCCGTTGGAAGGACTAATTGCCGCATGCTAATTATAAAGCGTTCCCTTCCCTGTAATCGATACAGTAGGCATGCACGCAGACTGTTTACCGAACAGTGTGCTGATTGGTCTGTTTTCATTCACGTGCTTCGGTTGTCACTCTAGAATTCGCTCGGTCACACAGACGGAGCGAAGGCGAGGAGCAACATGCTTTGCAGCTTCGCCCCCGTACATCCCCCAAAAGCTTCCTGTCTTCCTGTCCACTGTTACGATTTATCCTATTAGTGCAACGTTGTTTATATTTGACGTCAACCTCCTTTTCGAATTGACCCGGGTATCTCGAAACAGTTTCGCTATCGCCATTTCTTCCATTTCAGCAACACGAGTATTGATTACTCTTATTCCTCTGTTGTGCCGCGCTTTTTCGGTTCATGTAGAACTCCGTTCTCAAAAGAACAATGTAAGGAGGGGAAAGGGGAAAGAGCTTACGCACCAGAATATGTTATCAGATAAAATAGATTGAGACTGATTAAAAGGATGCCACCGGAACGGGTTTGTTTCAAGCCTAGTCTGCTGTAGTTTACTCTCTAGTGATATGTTGGTAGAGCTCATTTGTATCAGTTTCTACCAGCTAGGATCGTATTATTGTCCTGCGTAGATGGCTTTTGGTCGTCGAGGCGAGTCCAGCACAATTGCACCTCATGATAGACGTATCCAGAACCGAATCGAATGCAAACCGTACTGTGTACCCACTTGTCAATCATCAAAGCGTTGTTCCGTGTTCTTTGGTTCTAGTTTATCGAAGTGCTGCTATATTCACCAATCGCTGTACTTTCGGCAAACGTTCAGCTAGCCTTGGCACATTGTGACCCTTTTACTTTGTCTGGACGTGCAAGTGGTCAGAGGTTTTCTAAGACTGGGCTGGATTCCACTTGAGCCACAATAGTCACTCCCCACTGATAACTGAGATCCCAGATCATCAGGTTGAAGGTTTTTTTGCTTCAGTCGTACCAGTTGTCGCATGTTTCCTTGCATTTTTCTTTGCTCTTACCAGGGTTCATCAGAGGTTCGTTCTTTTTCCCCCGGTGAACTTGCACCCTAACTGTTGTACTCACGGTGAGCTTAGTAGATATGCACAGTAAGGCTGGTACTTGCACAAGCTCACTTAGTGTTTCTTTCCTGTATTCGACCGCCTGTTTGCCCCACAGATTATGCTCATGCACTGCAGGCATTGGCAGTTTTTGGGTGGCAAGCTTCTGATGCACTTGTGTGACCAAACTTTGCCATCGGACTTGGTGTTCCTGTTCCACTTCTACATAGAACCGATAAAATCCATCCACCGTGCAAATGTTATTCATGTAATCCGCAAAACGGAATGCGTTGCTCCTGCTATCTTTGGTTCCTTGTCGTGATATGCTCTGTGCGGCATGGTACAGCGCTCCGTTCTTCGATAAAACACCCATAGGACATTTCACAATCTTTCCTCACTGTGTTTCATCGTGGGAAGTTGACCAATAACAAATAAGTGACTTGTTTTTTTGTGCCGTGCCAGTGAAATTTCATTTCGACGCAAAGGTTTTGGTGAGGATAGCATAGAATTTCGCGGTTCTTCGATTTGAATACCCCAATGGTTAGAGACATTGTCAGACACGGCCCAGTCGCGCCCTCAATGGCGCTCATGTATCCAAGCTATTGCCTTCAATGCATAGTTCCCTTCCCAATCCCATCACTTAACAGTCCACCTACAGTGTTGTAGGTGCTGTAGGCACTAATTATCAGCTCCCGCCTCAAATGCGTAGCTACCCACCCCACCTCCCGGAATCATCAGTGGACGAAACTGTGACAGCTACAACCACTGTACGACGAGTACGCGGTTAATACAGCTGACAATCATGATGTTGATGATGATAGTGAACTTGTCCGGCCTGTTGCTGTAGCCTCCATCATCCAAGTTATGAACTACTAGTGTTTTAATCAACTAGGTAAATCACTAATCACTCTTACACAGCAACGAAAACAGTCATCCTTATCAGAAACTAGAGCAGTATTGACTTAGGCCGCGTCGTTTAATCCTTTACTTCAGTGGTGTTACCTTAGATCGGTATCGCAGCTGTGGATTATTCCAAAGAATGGTCGTGTGTGAATATCCAAGGCTAACTCACGAACTAAACCAAATAAACCAAGTCTTGTCAGTAAGAATTCAGGAACATGTCGTCTTATGACGTAAAACCCTTGGAGGGATAATCAACTAGAAAATCCTGGTCAGTGACATTGAACTTCCATTTTGGCGTCAGCCAGCCGTTTGGGGAACTAGAATGTGTTTCCTTATCCGTTCTGGTCGAATCACACGTACGCGGTGTATGTACGGCCTGTTTGGACAGCTCATTGAGATCTAGAAACTTAGCAGTCGAATCTTGATTTCCTAGATCCATGAAAGTTAACGTCAAAACAGCTGCGAACGGAATTCTGAGCTTAGAGGACGTCAGCTGACACAGAGGCAATGAACAGTATGGTCGTTCGAGGAATCCTGTCCAAAACTTCAAACCCAGGGCGAACCAATTTGTTTTCAATGAATAAGTATTCCTATCACTGACTGGACGATCACTACCTGGTTTCCTTTTACGTTTGTCCTGAAATTTGTTGCTTCGTCCTTGTTTTCCCTTGTTCCGTCATCCTTATGTTGTTTAGCCCAACTGTTTCTCCCTTTTTCAAGACCACAAGTTCCATTAAAATGATTTGGCATGTTTCTCTTTTACAGTGTGGTCTCCTGGGAAAACTGGCCACCTTGGAGGTCCAAGTACCGTGCCCATCCACCATTGGGGCTCCTGAAATCGACAGACAGATGGCCTGGGAACTCGGTCAGATGGATTACATGGGATCTGATTCATTCGACCGCATACAATCACTGCTGGAGTCTAAAATAAACGGTGCCACTGCACCGACGTCTTAACTTCTGACTATCCATTATTATACTTGCTTCTGTTCTCTGGTGCAGTGAACGTTTATTTTGTCAGACCATTTTTGTTCACCATCCTTCCCTCGTCATTCATACCACTGAGCCACCCATGCCTTCAGACGTTGACAGTCTGTCCATATCTGGTGATGGAAGCACAAAAGAGCGATTTGGGGACTATTTTGACCGGATGTGCACAATTACTTGGGATACCGTTGGCCTTTCTTAACGTGGTGTTCCCAAAAACATACAAATCACTCGATACACTCGTAGGTAACTGTCACTTTAAGGAGCGCTTTCTTCTTGGTTATGATCGATTTTGTCTTTGTCATAATGTGCTGAACAGACGCTGCGTCACGCACATTGGTTGAGCGTTCTCTTGCAGTTTTCGACTGCGCTCACTTCTGGGGATTGACTTGCACCCGGGACTCGAAAAACTCCACCAGTCTTCCAAATGATGTCTTTCTCGCACTCCTTGCTTTCTATTCGACCGATCGATGTGTAGTTTTTGTCTACGTGAAGACAATCTGTCCGACTGTCGTGCTCTGTATCAGTTCCCTTCCCCCCCCCCAAAAAAAAACATTCACTCACGTTTGCTTTGTATTTTAGTCCCCTCACATCCTTTATGCTCATCCTACCCCCGTGACTTTCCACCACTCACATTCTAGTGTTAGCTATCGAACTAATTAGGTTGCTTTGTACACCATTTCTAGTCAGACGCCCTCAGTCATTCAAGCACGCACATAAAAATCAGCGTCAATTCCTATCTTGCCTCATGTCAGACCGTCATTTTCTTCTTCCTGTGAATGACCTCGGCAACTTTGGTTCTATTTTGTTCCGTATGGTAAATTCTCATCATCTTGCTTTCGGACGGCGGTAATTTTTGTGTGCATTACCAACGAAAATTTGAATTCACGTCGTCTGCCTATTAAATTTATGGTCGATGAGGGTGGGCCGAGTGGTTTGTGGACGTTGAAAAACTTATTTGAGTGTGGCATTTTGCCCGGCGATTGTCATTGATCGGCCGATCACCTTACCATTGCGTAGTACTCTTCCTATTGATTTATTTTTCAATACCGCGGACTGGTGAACGTCTTCCTCATGCTTGGGCCATGTCAACAAAGTGCCTAGACAATTGGTTGTACTAAGCAATCAGGCGGCGTTCGTCCCTTGTTCATGGAGCATTGAATGTGCAAAACAGCCTTTTATTTACTGCACGCGCCTACGCGGATCTTGTCTTAGCTAATCGTTGCTTCATCTCAAAGACTGTTGGACGCCGTACCGAAACAAACCAACTAGCATAAACCAAACTATTAGATAATTGATCGGTTACATACACATGATAAATGATTGTGTGTATCTTTCTGGGGCGAGATGGCCCAAGTGGTTAGAGCGTGAATTTACTGACCGAAAGGTCCTTGGTTGGAACCCGACCTCTGCCTCTCGACTTCCCCTATCTAGGCTTGGACAAACTGGCAGTATCCCAGCCCTCGTGTTTCCTTTGGGTGGCATTGCAGTTAGGTACCTGAAGAATGCTACAGCTGAACGATTTTTTCTGACTATACATATATAGTGCACAGTTAGAACCTCAGTACCTACTATATGGATGATAGATCCTACTTTAGACGACACGGCTGTCCGTTCGGGCATTGAATTACAGCTAGGGTTGTCCCTATTCCCAATTTTTAAGACTTGCTTTGCTCGGTATTATCTGACAGACCGTCGGTTTTTTAGTCATTACATGTTTCGGTAATTGATTTGAGTCGCAGCTAACCAAACCATCTTATGTTTCGTCATAATGTTTCTGTGTATCCTTGCTGCTGAACAGCATGCGTGCATTTTGCAGTTTTGGTTGACTCACGGCTCAGAGCCGTACTCAGTCAGATCATCAATTCTGGAGATATTGCATCCGTGCTTCAGGCTCGTTTCTCACACAGAAGAGATTATCGAATCATCGTCATCACCGTGAACAGTGGTATCCCAGTATTGAAAACTGGTTCTCAATCGCCATACAGCTACGAAACTTGGGAATGACTGAATAGCCAACAATGCATGACCTGTTTATTCAAAAGTGCTATTTCACTGCCCACTGGATAGCAAAACTTCAAAGCCGGCTGGTAGATGGATACGTGGCGAGCATTATGATGTCCGAGTGCATAAGTGATGTGAGTTATTTTAGACAGTAGCTTTCCTGATGGAATACGTCCGTTGTGAGCCGAAAGGTACTAGGCTGATTTTCACTTTCGTCTTTGTGGTGTGAACGGGATAGAAGCGTGCATGAGGAAGCCAACAGGAACACACTGAGATCGGAATTTGAATTTCATCTTGTAAGTAGGACCAGATTGTACTGAAAGCTCAGAAGCAGTTTCACGAATTTTCACCAGAGACTCCGACCCTTAACCTGCCTATAGGAGTGTGGATACTCCTCCATTTGTCTGCTGATTATCAGTTTGCCCTTCGCTCAACTTTGAGTAAACTTGGTTTGAGCTAACCCTCCAGCTACAGTGAACACTGTACGAAATGTATGTGTAATCAGCATGTAAAATACGATGATCCGCCTCACTGAAATCCGACGAGTCGGGTCTGCTTGTACGCCCAGTGATTCCCATAGGAAAGGAAATTTCGACCCTGGTCACTCGAGCAACACTTTCGAGAGCCACCGCTTTCTGTGGTTGCATATCAGAATCAATTTTCTCATTGAACTTCAAGCAATACAACTCTGCCGTTATGGTGTTCCCAGATGGTAGGCAGAGATTAAATGAAGTAATGCCATTAGCTTTAGAAGTTCTCAAATCGGTTTCAGCGCATTCGCACCACCGTCCGTTGCATTCCATTAGTTGGTCGCAGCTTGGAAATAGTCGTTTTCAATCCCGGATGGCTGGTGACTTTCTTGATATTGTGACTGTAGTTGCCCACCGTCATTCAATGCTTTTGAACTTCTCCCAATTGTCCTGACCCTTTCAGAGAGGATCACTTTTACTCGGTCCCATCAACTGCCGTGTTAAAAAAACAGGAAGTTCTATCTGTTTCAACTGGCCCACAGATGCGTACCACCGAAACAAGATCATAATGTTTGTAAGAAATATAAACCTATTTCATCACGGATTAACCATACGTCCTCAAGTCACCCAAATGCATGAAATAGTAAGTATACTACTGTCTTGTGCCTTCACTGTTGAGGACTGCAATTTAATTACCTGATAACTCGCTAGGAAGGGATGGTAGTCAAGTGATTCTTATTTGTATAAAAAGAGAATTACTGGCCCGGTCGCAATAGCAACAGTAAGAACTGTGGTTTCGGTCATCAGAAACAAACACAGCTGAGGAGCATAGACAAAGAATTCAATTGAGTATCCCGTCAAAATCGAATTAGTGTATTTCGCGAACTGCATTCAACTAAAATATAATGTGAAGGACACTTGGGGGCTGCGCCTATCTGATGAGCTTCGTGCGTTGTCGAAGAGTTCAGCATCCTTATTAGTTGTATGTTCTGTCTAGACAAATACCGAGCACTTAGAGATGATTCGTGTAATCGGTATGATGTTTACCAAATTCATGGAAGACAATTGGTAATTGCATTGCAGTTATCTTGATCGAGGTAATACAGTTATAAATGTTCCGATTGAAGGTTCATACTGCACGTGAGGCCAGTTTATGCTCAACGGTAGGAAGTAGTGTACGGTTGTCTCTAACTTGTTAAGACTAATCGGTAGTGCACATCACGGATTTATTGGGCCATTTGAACCCACGTCTTTCCTGTTAATAATTGAGCCCTACACTACTCGATCGGCAGCGTGACTCACTTGAGCTTAGGTGTGTTGACCTTCAACCATACAGCTCATGCCACGTAAGCTGGCTCCCCGCCTGATGCCTATCCAGGAGGAAGGTCCATGCGACTTCTGGAGGTGTTTTTCTCTTCCAGGCAGTTTATTCGTAGCTTATCGGCAGTTAACTCTGTGAACCTCTGACTGAGTGGCTGAGTACTGCATCATTTGGTCGCGAGCAGCTCGTCGGTAGTGTGCACCCGTGTGCTTGATTATGGGATAACTGCTTCGCCTAGAGTGACTGTTCGATCGCGGAAGTCGCACAAACAATGTTCATGGAGAAACTTATGAGGCTCCGGAAGGAAGTTAGTTCACCCCCATCAGCAAACAAATTTAAGTGGTAGAGCTAGAAAGTTGACAACTGAAAACGACTCTGTGTGGCTATCGTGCAAACGGGCTTCAAACCAATAGGTATACAGCAGGATGACAGGGATTTTCAAGTCGCTTGTAAGATTAGGCAGCTTCCATGCAGGAAACCACGTTGAGTAAGGTATGGTATCGGCTGAACACGCAGTTGCAGAGGAGGACGAAGATGAGGCTCATTCGTAAGTTACGGTGGTTTTTACAGGGAACAAAATCGTCTCCCGTCTATACCATGGATCATCTCGAACAACACATTATTTTTGCTCCAAAAAGCACGTTTGTAAGCAATGTTGAGCCGCATCAAGATTGATTACGTCTAATACTGGAGCAGGAGCCAATGCAAATTACTTCTCACAATCATACGATCATGTTGGCCAAAGGATTTCTTCGTTGAAGCTTCAGGGATACTACGTGAGTGTTCAAGTTTCCCGTTGTTTGTAAACTTCTGTAAACTCTGTACACGTCTAACGAGACTAATTCAAATGTAATGTGACATCCGATGGGGATCCATTCTGGGTCCTCGACTATCGTTATTGCTTCTCACTGATCTAGTTTGTGCGAATTCTCAAAATCTCTTTATTGTCAACGTGAGAATCCGTATGACAGTCGCATCAACGGACAACGGATGCATTTTCCAGTCACACTGATGTTACGCATAGTTGGCGCTGAAGAACAACCTTTCCGGCGTGTCAAAACATATGTGGTATCGTCACGCCAACATGGAACTCGTACCTACCCCCTTAAATCAGGTTTTACAAGCTGTTTTCAATGAATGTTACCACCACATCTCCATACAGGAGACTCTAGGGTATTCAGGCTAATGTTCAAATGTTCCCGCTGTCCGGAACCGCTGTTTTTAACTTCTCAGTCTTTCATTTGCACTAGTTCAGTCGGACATGCCTCCTCGGGTTCTAATCCCATATGTTCGTCCCCAAAGCGAGCATTTCATGCAGTTCTGGCCACTGTGGCTACAAATAGATTCAGCAACACCTAATCTGCCTCAATACTGAGCGGCCAATTTGATAATGTAAGTTGAATGTTTAACCGACCAACCAAGGATCCTGTCTAAAATCTATGAGTAATATTGGCAACTCCGGAACAACCTGGTTTTTTTCCTACCAACTACTGAATAACTATGAACGCAGCACACCTCTCCGGTGTCACCAAAAGTTCGCCAGTTTGTATTACCATGGATGTCAAATTTTCTACACGCTGCTGTAATAAGCGTTTAGTGAATTCAAGCATACACTTCTGCATCCGTTTTTTATCACTGAAATTCCATTAAGACTCCTTATGCGTGACTGGGAAATAATGATGCATAAACAAGATCGAAGTCAGTACAGACGAGTAATTATAATGTCACTCAATTAAAACTGAATGAAACAATGGGGCATGATGGGATGTCACAAACTAGTCATATGAATGCGTTAATACGAAGGCCTCTCGAAGAGAGATCACCAAGAAGTCCCTCAGTAGCTTGTAAGATCATTCAACAATCACTCTGAAAAATACTCATCACTGGAAAATCAGCTTTCGCAACGCGAGCTCTACTCAAACCTAGTATACACTGACATAAACATGGCGCACCCCCTGTATTCCTGATTTGGAAAGTTTGCTCAGTTGTGTTCCGTCTTCAAATAATTACCAACCGATGCTTTTGTAGCAAAACGGGATTTTGCTAACTGTGCCACATCCACTGGCGCGCAAACCAGCTTATCGAAACGAAACAAACTCGTTAGTGTAGCGAAGCGAACTTGGCTGGTCAAGTTGGTTGGTGCGTGTGTTACGCATGACTAACCACTGTGTACGTGGAAAAGACCTTGTTTCCAATCCCGAAAACTCTCCGGCGAAATTTTGCGTGAAACAGGCCGCGGAATTTAAACGACGATGGTC